TACGATTTCTCAGCTAGTTGAGTTCAAAAAGATGATACTGAAAAGAAACCACACCTTTTGAGAGAGGTCCGATCGGCAGTTCCCTGAATTTCATGAGGTTCACTCCATGGTTACACTCCGAACTCTGAAATCTCGTGTTAAACTAAAATGGGAACGTGATATCGACATCAGCTGATGATATAGTTCCCAGTGACTACATTGACGAAAAACTGGTAGCATCAACCAAAGATGACACTATAAACCCTTTACTGCCCTAATCTTTCCTAAGTGGAGACAGTTTTTCACCAACTTAGACTGATTTGGCTGAAACGTAGCGTGTGTCCCTGATTATGGGCAATTTCGTGCCTAGCTAGAGCACTCAGGGAAAAGACAATGCAGTAAAGGAAAGGACAAGGTTTCGTGGTTGCTTGAAATGGCGGTCGATCGCTTTAAAAAGCTGTCTTAGCAGAGGAAGGGCACTCGGGGAAGGGGCCGACGATCAGAAGCAGGCAGCGGTGTCAAGTATGCATCCCCTTTCTTTCATCCTGTACTCGCTTGGCACTACAAGCAGGTGTAAGGCTCCAGCGTTCCGAGCGTCCTGAAGCGTCAGCGACTAGGAAAGTATAAGTACCGACTGAGCGTCTGCCAGCGTCCACCACTGTTCACAGGCGACCGGGAATATAAAGTAAGGGGAAAGTAGGAGGGAAGCAAACCGCTCGATTAGGCGTCGTGAAATTGCGGCGTGAGCAACCTCACCACAACAGCTAAAGCACCAGATCATGCAATTTAATGTAAGGTGTAGTGCGGTTTGACCGTGCAGTTGCACACGCCGCAATGTTAATGCCTAATCCACCTATTTGCTACGCTCCAACTTCTTCGTCGGACGTCGGACGCTGGTGAACGCTGCCGCGAAGTATGAACGCAGAATAATCATCGTGTTCAGTGATCAAACCCTCTTGGGTTGAATTCAGCTAATTCGGTTACTAACGCTAATGTGGCACCGCTACCTGTGGCGCGAACATCCCGATTTGAGCCTAAACGCATGTAATAATTGTGATCAAGAGGTCAAACCATCTGCAGCGACAAATTTTTAAAGGTTTGTTTATTCAAGGTGTTTCGGCACCGGCGCCTGAAGCGTGGGCACCAGGCGCATTTGTGTCAAAAGGGTGCGATATTCGTGGTTGGGAGGTCAAAGTACCCCCAGAAACAAGTTTTGAGCAAATAGGGTTCTTAGAATTTGAACTTCTCACCCTAGAGCTGAACTCCGGAAGCTTCGGATTTTGAAAATTCACACAGGAAGGGCAAAGGAATGCTGAAACGATACTCACATTCAATTTCTCCTTGCCAGCGTAGAAAAAATCCGACATGCCGGGGAAAAAGCGCCAGATATTCATCATGTCAGCAACGTGTTTGCGCTGCAGTGGCCAAGTGAGTGGGAAGCAACGTCCTGAAACTATGGGAATTAACTGAATCAAAAAATGTATTTCAGACGAGGAAATTTCGGGATGAACGTGCTGGGCGAAGCTGAAGATTGTTACCACCAACAACAACAACAAAATCACAAGTGACGCTGAGTTCGCGCGAGTCCGAGTACAAGTAAACCTTGTGTCATCAATAACAACCTTTGACTCCGAATCAGCACAGCGCAGGCGGATCTTCTCAATGACACCGGACCAAGATCGACAATGCTTTCTAATTTATTCAAAGATGACACTTGAATGCCTTCTACTATAAGACAAGAGCCTTCCATTAATGAATACCACAGAACAATTAATAAATCAGAAGTTCTCTGGTTTCAGAAGTGCAACATTACTCTCCACAGCAGCTGTTGAACTACCTCTAAATCTAGTGGAGTTGTGAACGTGACCTAAAGTGCAAACGGGCCCCACTTAAACCGCATAGGTGGCGTGATAGAAAGTTCAGCTTTTACCCTGAAGCTTTGGAAGAAGATTCCACTTTCCATCACGATGTTTCCATCTTAGGATCTTATTCAGCTAACAGAGACTCATATCATTTCGAAATAGTCGAAGGCCAGGAAGTCTGTGGAGAAAGTGCAAGTCCCCAGATCCCGTAACAAAAGGATTATATGATAGTGACTGACTCCGCCCACTGGCCTATCGCGCACTCTCTAGATCGACACTTTGCTTTTCGCGGATTCTCCCAACGACAGATTCTTTACTTTAGCAAAGTATGAGAGCGATTCCAAATTACCTTGCGGTAACGGACCGTGGCATGAATGTTCACAGATAATTTGAAACAAAGAAAAAATATTGGGAAAAGAATACACTCCAAAGCACAGATGATCCGTTTCGCCCGTTATCGCAGACGAATCGTCGTCTAGCCAACCCCGGGCTCGTCAGTGCGACAGGGTTGACGACATGAGGACATGGACTACATAGGGGAAGGAGTTGAGAAATAGGATAAAACGAGAGAAAATGTAAAAAAAAGGTTTACATGCAAAATTCATGCAATAAAGATGAGGAGGAAATGTACAAAAAAATGAAAGAAGGATATAAGATCCACAATCCCCAGATCACGTAGCAAAAAGATTATATGGCAGTTGGCTGACTCCGCCCACTAGCCTATCGCGCATTCTCTAGATCAACACCTTGCTTTCCGCGGATTCTCCCAATTGACAGATTCTTTACTTCAGCAAAGTATGAGGGCGATCCGGAATTACCTTGCGGTAACGGACCGTGGCATGAATGTTTACAGATAACCAGCTGTTGCCTTTCCACCAGTTGTGCAGGCCAAGGGTCATCTCTCGGACAACAACTCTGTTACTGCTCTATCTCACCAGCTGGTAATATTGGGATGAGGGGTGTGTACACATAGTTAGGCCAGTTAGGTAAACTCGCCTAACACCTAGTCTCCTTTGGGAGAGACCTCACAAGGTTTTCCCACACGCAAGTATGGGGAGGTGTTGATTGAGGTCAGCTTAACTAAAGTGACACTTCCGCCCATGAGTGATGGCGGTTTTTTCTAGGTGACACTTCCGCCCATGAGTGATGGCGGTTTTTTCTAACTCAAACTCTTGTATAAGCAGGAATGATTTGCCAACAGGTTCGATACCGGATGGTAGAGAAGTACTCGCAAAAAAAGGTAGCTGAAGACCTCACAAATATTTGATTTTGATTACTGACCTAAGCGGAGTGTTGAGAATGCGGAAAAGCACTTTTTACCCCCTTTCCTTTGCGTTCAATCTAAGGGCTGAATCCACAGAAGTTCTTTTATAAGTGCACTGCCAAGGATAAATGCTTGTTGAGAAGGCTCATGTCGGTTAGGGTGTTTTGAAAATTCCAAACCAAGACCTCGACCACGCAGAAACTCTTTACACCGGGCACCCCTTCTTATAACAGTGTGGAGCTGCTGAAATAACTATTCACGCCAAACGGCATAGATTCAAAAAGAGCCCCGGGTGCACCAGTAGTACCACCAAGCGTCACCCACACTTGACGGGAGGTCCAACAACTTGTCTCCATATGCAACGGTTCCTCACTGAACTCAGAAGGGTATCAGAAACGATGCTTATCTATAAGGTCTCAAGCAGACTCATCTGCAAATTGCCTAATGCACTACTGAGCAATCCTGAGGAGAACCGTTTCTTTACAACACATTTAAGGGAATTTTTCTGCTTCAGCACCCG